AGTTCCAACCATCCAAAAAATTAATATTGAACGTCCAATTATATATATATTACAAATTCCATAAGAACCAAGTCTAATCCAACGTCAATAATTTAATTTCATACATAATACAGGAATAACCCACTACTCCCACTACACATTTTAGTTCCAACCATTCGAGGTGTCATGCTCTGCAACTGAAGCAGTTATATCCTTATCAAATGCAGTAGCAACAGAAGGCTCTGGTAACTCATCTATGGTGCTCCTTGTATCTGGGGAACCAACATCAGACTCAGAACCAGGCATACCCAGATGACCATTTTCAGTTTCTATTTCTGATATTGTATCCAATGAGCTCTGATTGGGAACCTCTACAACATTCACCCTATCAACAACAGAATTTGGCAATGTATCTTCCTCTAATGTAGAACGCTCTTCTCGATCTGAGATACTCCTTGCATTTTGGAAGTCTTCACCGTTCCCAAAAGAAGCAGAAACTTCCACATTTGAAAAAGAAGCAACTGAACTGTCTCCTGAATAGACATTTAAAGTATTGGTCAACAATTCTGATGTAGGGTCAACCATTGTTCCATCATAATTGTTGCATACAACTTCAGTGCATGTATCATCTATTCCTGCACTTTCTGAATCCCACAATTGTTCTTCAGGAGCCACATTTGTTACACCTCCAACCTCATTTACAACTTCAGTGCATGTATCATCTATTCCTGCACTTTCTGAATCCCACAATTGTTCTTCAGGAGCCACATTTGTTACACCTCCAACCTCATTTACAACTTCAGTGCATGTATCATCTATTCCTGCACTTTCTGAATCCCACAATTGTTCTTCAGGAGCCACATTTGTTACACCTCCAACCTCATTTACAACTTCAGTGCATGTATCATCTATTCCTGCACTTTCTGAATCCCACAATTGTTCTTCAGGAGCCACATTTGTTACACCTCCAACCTCATTTACAACTTCAGTGCATGTATCATCTATTCCTGCACTTTCTGAATCCCACAATTGTTCTTCAGGAGCCACATTTGTTACACCTCCAACCTCATTTACAACTTCAGTGCATGTATCATCTATTCCTGCACTTTCTGAATCCCACAATTGTTCTTCAGGAGCCACATTTGTTACACCTCCAACCTCATTTACAACTTCAGTGCATGTATCATCTATTCCTGCACTTTCTGAATCCCACAATTGTTCTTCAGGAGCCACATTTGTTACACCTCCAACCTCATTTACAACTTCAGTGCATGTATCATCTATTCCTGCACTTTCTGAATCCCACAATTGTTCTTCAGGAGCCACATTTGTTACACCTCCAACCTCATTTACAACTTCAGTGCATGTATCATCTATTCCTGCACTTTCTGAATCCCACAGTTGTTCTTCAGGAGCCACATTTGTTACACCTCCAACCTCATTTACAACTTCAGTGCATGTATCATCTATTCCTGCACTTTCTGAATCCCACAGTTGTTCTTCAGGAGCCACATTTGTTACACCTCCAACCTCATTTACAACTTCAGTGCATGTATCATCTATTCCTGCCCTGTCCAAGGGAACTTCTCATGCTTTGTGCCCCATCTCTCACATAGGACAGATCATCATAAGAAATACTAGAGGCAGTGAAAGTCACATATTTGTAGCTTAAGTTATTCAAAAGTAATTTTATTATGTGTGTGAACTAAACTACAGTTGCATAAAACAAGAAGAACTAATGATTGCATTGATGCTTTATGCATGTCCATGCCTTTACATGGCACTGTCAAAGCAACTAGTAAAGGTTTGAATAACCTTCCTTGCTCAACCTAGAATGCAACCAGAGAAAGAGAAGTCTGACATGATTTTTAATTAATTTGCAACCTACCTGATGGAAATTTATGGTGCAGGTTACATTTGTTTGTGGAAGCAGACGCAAGTACTGCACTTCACCCAACTCCAAATGTGTTAGAATGGTCAGCATCACCTGCCACAGTCAAAAACTAGCAGTTCAAGTCTTACGATGCATGTAGATATGACAAAGTGAACTCAAATGGAAAATGCTTTATCATCATTCTAGTATTTCTACCAAGAGGAAGACACCAGGATACAAATCTAAAAGTAATAAGCAGTTACTGATGAAAATGAACGAAGCTTCACAATATTTTCTATGTCCTTAAAATTATCAAAAATGTCATGGAAGGTCAATGTAATTTACCCCTTTTTTTTCTTCAAAAAATAAAGAATTATCAGGAAATTTGAATTTGCATTAAGTATTAGAAATAGAATGCAGAAAGAACCTCTTTTTTCATATCAAATTTACGCGATGCAGGCTCTTTGACTAAAGAGCAAATTTTCCCATGTGAATCCAATTCATTAGTAAAAACTTCAGAGAGGAATCTGCTGACTGCATATTCATCTACACCATCACTGTGAAGCACAATATTTTTGGTTAATTTCAGATCTTGAAAACCATAAATCAAAGCTAAACAGAATATGAAATGCATTGAATCACCTGTATGTTAGACTACGAATTTTAAAATATGTGCTATCATTAAAAAAGAGATGGCAATAAGATAATCTACCATCGAGTTCAGCACGTCCAATCTCCTACAGAAAAGCATGATTTGTTTTGTTCAGAAAAATTTTACATGAACATTATCTTCCAAAGAACCAATGGTTAAGAAACAAATACCCACCTGAACATACTCTTCCAAGCTTTCTGGTAAAGTGTAATGGATAACCTGAGATAGAAGCATTTAGAAAGCTTCAGTACAATTTCTACAATGCAGTGCCATGCTAGATGTGTGTATATGTGACAACAAGATATCTCATAACAAATAATGTTGCTTAGTGCTGCTTTTACATGAAAGCATTATAAAAATTCATACCAAGATATCAACATGATTCATGTGATATGATTACCCTGCTGTTGGTAGAGAAACCTGACTGTCCAACTTTTTAATAACTACAACTTTTGAGCATCAATTAATTATGTTGGGGGGGGGTGCAGAAAAATAAAATGAGTATTTTAAGGTCATTGTTCTTACAGCTCCAACATCACTCTTGTCAAGCCCCATGCCAAATGCCACAGTTGCAACAACCTTCCAGAAAATAATTCAAGTACATGAATTAGCCATATGTCATGACATCTTACTACATAATTAGAAATGAAAATAAGTTTCAAAGCCAAAGTGAACCAGAACAATTTCTTACCACTCTTATCTTGTTGGAACAAAATGATTCCTGAATACGACTTCGATCCTTTAAGGGTATACCACTGTGGTAACTCTTTATTTATTATTATTATTATTATTTTTTGACAAGTTCAAATAAGTTATAGTAAAGAATAAATTAGTTTCATATGTAAGAAACCATGTATGATTCAACTGAATCAAGAAAGTATATGAGAGGCTAACCATTGCTTGAATATTGTTGTCGCTTAAGTATTTGCTTATCAAATCAGTTTCATACTGCAAAATAAATAATTCAATCAAAAGCCAGGCAGTCAAAATTGCAATGTAAATAAGTATAAAAATTCATCCAATTGAATTCTGTATTGTCAAAAAAATCATTTTAAGCAAAGGATTTAACTATCTAAGGCCATGGTATACACTATATGGAAAGAACAACTCATGGGGTTACCTGAAATTTGCAGTATATAATAATGCTTTGAACTTCCGCAAAAGGGGAAGACTTGATTAACATCATCAGATCCTTCATTTTGTTTGGTAAAGATAGTTAAACATGAGATGAGAAACAACAACCATTCAGTATAGAGAGTCAAGAGTCCTACATATTTTATTGGCTTCAACACATAAAGGATTTGGGATACTTTAATAGTAATGAGACACTGCATTAGCTTGGGAATTCAGATCATCAAAACAAACATGCCCAGAATAATTTTGTTTTTTTAAATCAAGAAAATTAACAGATGGGTACTTGAGAATTCATAAGTCGATCCACCAATCCCCTAATCTAACAAGAAAACACAAGAAAAAGGAAAGGGTTCGGGTTTGTAAAAGCAATTTGGGTTTAATAGAAGAATGAATTGGATTTAACAGGGTGTGCTCCAATGGTTGAGAGCGAGAGGGAGGAAGGGGAAGAAGAAGGGGAAATACCAGGGTGTGCTCCAATGGTTGCTGCGAGCGAGAAATAGAGAGAAAAAACGCTGCTCTTGGGGAGATGGGTTGTATCGTCGCCGGTGAGGAGGTGGGTGCTCGTGTGCAACAGTGGTGGCCGGTAGGAGGGTCGCCTGCGATAGAGTGAGAGAAAGAGAGAGAGAGAGAGAGAGAGAGAGAGAGAGAGAAGATCGATGATGAGAAAGTGAAATAGGAGAGGGCTGTGTAGGGGTAATTAAGGACAAATGCCGACTAAATTTTATTTCAGTAGCCAAAACGATAACCAACAGCGACCAAATGTTATTTTAGTCGCTAAAAGTAATAATTTAGCGACTAAACATTTTAGTCAGTAATTAATTTCATAAATCCCACCAAAATTGAAATTTTCCCTCAAAATATTTTAATTCTTTGGCGACTAAAATATTTTTCGTCACTGAAAATAAACTATTCGCCAAAGGTAAAGAATATTTTTTTTATTTTCCAATTGCCGACTGAAGCGTTTTAGTAGCCAAATCTGCACCTACAGCGACCAAAATTGTTTTTCGTCGTTGAAATAAACTATTTGGTCGCCAAAAGATAAAAAATAAATTTTTAAAATTGTTTTGGCTACTAAACAATTTAGTAGCTAAAAGTAGCCCTACGGCTACTAAAATTTCTTTTAGTTGCCAATTGTGATATGTTTAGCTACTAAAAATTTTTGTAGTTGCCAATTGTAATATTTTTAGCTACTAATTTTTTTTTAGTCGCCAATAATCAACATTCCCCTACTAAAAAAAATTAGTAGCTAAAAAGTTGACTTTTGCCAACTAATATTATTTTTGGTAACCAATTCCGACACTTTTGGCGACTAAATTTTTTTTGGTAGCCAAAAATGGTCGCGAAAAATGTATTTTCTTGTAGTGTTTAGAACTCATCATCTCCATCCATGCTAAATATATTCAAAGGTAGTGTAATTCGATTTATACTTAAAATGAATGAAATTTACAAATATATTTTTTTATTTAGTTTTTACGAAAGAAGGTTTTATTTATTTATTTATTTATTTTAATATCAAAATGAGAATTCATTAAATTTGAATTTGATCAAAACTTGAAAACATAAAATTTGATGAACATAATTTTTTTGAATTCATTAAATTTTAATTCATTAAAGTATTGAAGATTACCTTTTTCATCAAATTTGATGAAAAGGGAAATTTGGGATTTGAAAAAAAAAAAAAATTTGTTAGAAAGGTTTTAATGAACATTTGATAAAAGAGTTGGACTAGTTCATATGAAATAAGATTTTTTACTCAAATTTAAAATCAAATCACAATTACAGGTACCTAGGAGCATGCTGATGGAATGAACAAAATACAAACAGTTAATATAATATGGTCATAGATCTTAGGCTATAACTTGATCATGAGCGAATTTGTTGATGTTGCACCCATGAAGTATGGAAAGTGCCAATCCTTTCGAAAATACTGGTTTCAAAAGAGTTGAGTTTCTCATGGCAAAAAAACTAAGTTTATGATTTGGTTTCTAATTGATAAGGTCGGGGAGCGGGGCAGAAGGAAAAAAGCATGCGCCAACACCGTTGATGATGCAGAAAGCTGTTTAGCACGAATCTCTTGAGCACTTAGGTAGCGGATAGCAGCTTGGGCGAAGAAGTGCCTCAACGTGCCATAGCCACTATGAAAAAAAGAAAAAAGAAAAAAAGTAATGAAGTGTAGGAGATGCTCTAAAGACTTTTATTAGTTGGTTTGGACCTTTATTCTTAAAGGAGAATATTTAAAATTTCCAAAAATACCCACAATTGTATCAACAGTAATGTGACATCATATGTGTCAATTTTTGATTTATTACAAATTTAATGATATAGGGCCCTACTCTCTTACCGTATCATTATAGGTCTCTAACATTGCTCATTTGTAAACCTACTAACACTATACGAGTTAAAATTATTTGACACACTTAAAATTTCAGGAAATTTAAGAGCCAAGATGCCGCCTTGTTCGCCTTAAGCCAGGGACAGCCATGTACCTCTATTGCCTATGGAAGCATCTTCTATGAAATCATTGATGGGTTTTTATGTTATGAAGGGGAGAGAGAGAGAGAGAGAGAGAGAGAGAGAGAGAGAGAGAGAGAGAGAGACAGACAGAGAGAGAGAGAGAGAGGGAGAGGGAGCGATCTGCCATCGATGGATCCTTTGATATAATTTAGACGGAAGGGGCTAGTGTGATGAGGAATCACCAGATTTGGGTTCCTTTCCCTTCGCCCCCTCCTTATCTCTGTCTTTTACTTCTCTATGGTTATTGTGATAACAATATTGGTGTGTAGGAATTTAAAAGTTTTAAGGGTTTTGTTTTGGATAGCTTTTTGGGTGGTGGCTTTCATGGAAGAGGTTTCTTTTATTATTGAAGATTTGCTGTTGGAAAAATCTTTTGTATTTTTCACTAGGTTTGTTTGTCTTTCTAGAATTAAAATTAGATTTGTTTGCCCTTCTCTATTCTTTTCGCATAATGAAAATTATAATCTCAAATGAGGACATTATCGGTATTTCACCATTGCACTAAACTTCTGACAAGAAGTGTCAATATGATTTCAGATATTGAGGGGTTACAAAGGCCTTGTTTGGTTTGTATTTGAGAAACATGTTTTGAGATAAAAAGTACGAAAATTTGTTTGGTTTAGTTTTTTTTCAAAAGATGTTTTGAAAAATTATTTTGACAGAGAGTTTTGGAAAAAGTGATTGATTTGATGTGTATGAAAGAGAGATTTGTTTGGAAAATTTGTAAACCAAACAAGTTTTGGAAAAAAAAATTTGGTTTGATTACTTTTGAAAACTTATTTGTAGAGAATTTTTCTCAAAATTTTTTGAGAAACACAAACCAAACAAGGCCAAAGTTATTTATTGCAGTGTTAAGATGACATGTGCCGTTTGCCGTAACTTGTAATTCTATACTACACAAAAGTTGTGTACTATATGTTCACTTGGTTATGATATTTATAGATTTTACTTACGATTTATTGTGAAATTAATTATAATTAATTGTGATATTAATTATGATTATTATTTTAATTATGACACTACAAAAAAAAACACTTTTGGCAACTAAATTTTTAGTCGCCAAAAGTCCGTTTTTAGTTGCCGAAAGTCGAAATTTTACTTTCCCCGACAAAATTTTTTAGTCACCACATTTGTCGCGTATAGGTGGTCGGCGGAGGTATTGGCGACTAAAACTTTTTTAGTCGCCAAAATATAAGTCTTAGCGACCAAAATTTTAGTCGCCAATAGTGTTTTACACTTTTGAAAATCATACATTTACCGACTAATAATTTAGTCGCCAATACTTACTCAATCGCCGACTACACTGTTTAGTCGCCAAAATAAAGACTTTTGGCGACTAATAATTTTAGTCGCCAAAGGTGTCGTCGAAAAAAAAAAACCCACTTTTTTTTGCTTTTCTTGAGTTTCGAACCCCAACCGTCCCACATTCCGAACCTTTTCGCAACACACTCTCTCCACCATGCCACTACAACATCACATGAATATATATGCAATATATATTATTTATATAGTATATTAACCGGTATTAATACAAAATAATATATATAAATATAATTTTTTTAATTCAATATAATTTATGTAAAAAATAAATTATTTACTTAAAAAAAATTTAGGCCACTTTTGGTGACTAAATTAAATTTTTAGTCGCCAATTCTATCATTTTTAGCTACTAATTATTATTTAGTGGCTAAAAAATTAAGTTCCGCCTAGAAATAAGAGGTTTTGGCGACTAAACCTATTTTTAGTCGCCAAAAACGTCCCCTTTTGGCTACTAAACTGAATTTTAGTCGGCAATGGACTGTTTTTAGCTACTAATTTTTTTTTGTAGCCAAAAAGCTTCACTTTTAGCGACTAAACTGTATTTAGTCGCCAAAACCATCACTTTTGGCTACTAAATCATTTTTAGTCGCCAAAAACCGTGACTTTTGGCTACTAAATCATTTTTAGTCGCTAAAACCCCTACATTCAGCGACTAAACTGCCTTTTAGTCACTAATACCCTCATATTTGGCGCCTAAACTCTTTTAGTCGGCAAAAGTTATCAATTTTGGCGACTAATTTCATTTTAGTCGCCAATTGTACTATTTTCAGCGATGAAAAATGTAATTTTAGTCGCCAAAAGTGCTTTTTGTTGTAGTGTGATCTATTTTTTTATTATTATATCTTATATTGTATTTTATTATGACTCATTATTTTTTTTAATTATCATTACAAAATAATTTATAGCATAACCTAATGAGTTATATCATTTATGTTTGTCACTCAGTAATATAATATTAATACATGGGATAGTAAACAAAATATGTTAAAATATTGTTACTGTAAATAATTATACAATAAAATATAGAGGAATTATTTTTAAAGTCTCTGATATTAAAATTTTATAAGATAAATGACATACAATATTTTCGTAATAGATAAGGTCCCTCAACATTTCTATAGAAAAAATTCGACTCAGAGAAATTTTGCTCGACTCAGAAAAATTTCAAATTTCACAGATAAATTTCTCTGTGATCATATCAGAGAAATTTTTAAAATTTTCTGAGTCGGATGAAATTTCTCTAAGTCGGGCAAAATTTTTCTTAGTCGAATTTTCTCCGTGAAAATGTTGAG